GTGGTTGAATATAAAGCACTTTGAGTGGTCGGAAGACTAGAAAGGTGCTGTACAGCCCATTTACCATTGATCTTACTTCTTCTTACAGTCATATGCATGATGGCACTAATAGCTGATCATCTTTTTACATTGGCCATCCATAATTTACCAGAGGATGGAGCAAGGAAAGTATATATGAGCCATATTCCACCATACTATGACATACATGCCAGTTCTATAAAATAATGAAAAATGGCCATGGCTATTTGCTAGAGACAAAATTATGTCTTAAATTGCCAATTTTGTCAACTAAAAGATCGTCTTGATTCATGACCATCACAGGCCTGAAAACTAAGGAAACCAGCAAACACACATTTGAGAATCTGGGACTAGAGAATTGGGATTAAGAAGTGAGATTCTTAAAAGATTACTCAAAATGATTAATGGTTATCAAAATAGTTGCTGATGAATTTAAAATCTGTTGACTAATCAACTAATCATTGCAAGTCTAAATTCAGTTCAATTCAATATCAAGAGGAAAATGGAAGATACACGCTGCATCGAATGTCTCTCTGTTTGCTGGACACTTTTAATGGCATTTTATGCACAAGTCTTTCAGCATTCAAAAAACACAACAACAAGTTATAAGCTGGCACTATAAGCTCAAGACTAAATGTGTTGTGAGAAGTAAAAGGGAAACAAAGTGTTGAGATAAAAAAAACTACCTGTCACTTTCCATTGTCCAGAGAGTTTATCTTGTGTGGAGATAATGAAATTAGCTTGACCATCCCCCCCTACAAATTAACTGACCTCCTGTGACCTGGGCAGGGTTTCCCCAGAAGACCCCAGAGCTACAACCACCATTGTTCCTTTGTAAGCCCATAGACAATGATGATGTTACTGCTAAAATGCTTTTAGGAAACTGGGTTTCCAATGAGTCAGTATGCAAGTTAAGGAGCGTGTGAAGAGTTCGGCCAGGATGTGATGGGAACATCTTTGTACCGTGCTGGTGATGACACATCATGCATCACGCTGAGTACACTGTATACAAGACCGAATCTGTTTAAGCTTTCCTCCCTGTTCTAGATATTGGAGCTGGCTAAGGTCTTGTGAATCTTCTTCCTCTGCAGTTTAAGAATGAGAGAAGCACAGGCATAGGAAGAGAGTTGTTCAACCTTGTTGCATGACTTGTAAATACAGTTTTCCTGAGAACTTATTTCCACTTCAACTGTGCGTTCCTGTTTCAGATGAAGGGTAGCGCCTCCGGTGATTGATGAGGTCAATCAGCCTGTAATAAGCTTGTCAGGTATTTTACCGTACAGCCCTTAAAATGGCTTGTTAAATGCACATCAGGCTGTGCACCATTTCTCAATGACTATAGTGTGAACGTGTTCTATTGACGGCAGCGGTACAACCCAGCATGACCTCTAATTCTGTTTTGGGATTCAAGTGCTGCACTTATAGCTGCTCTAGTGTAAAGAGGAGGAAGCAGGCGGGGATGAAATGTGCGCCCCCCAAACTCAGATATGATGTGAGCCTATTTAACCCTACACACTTGAGGGAGAATGATCAGGACGCCTTAAGGGGAGCGAAACAACAGGCGTTAAAACAAGCAGGGATTGTCCTGTGCTGTCCCCACGCCAAAGCAAAAGAAGCCGGATTCGGTGAAGGGCTCTACAAATGTAAGCAGCCATCTCTCTCTCGCCCTCCCACTTTTCCCTCCATCTGAAGTGCAGGCTGAATGTGAAAGATTCCGGTGGCATCATTCAACACATAGCTGCCTTTTACAGCCCCCTAAATGGCCATTAAAGTCTCACCAATTCATAAGTTTGATTCCGCAACACAGCCCTCCTCTGTGGGCTCCAGGCCTCACAGCTGCAGATAAGACACCATGACGGACCCACCAAGTCCCACTCTATCACTGATGCTAGAATAACATTTATTGCCATTAATTATTATTTGTTAAAGTAAATTATTGAGTAAGAGTACCAAACATTTACTGCTTATACATTTTAAATTGTGACTATTGCTATATGCTGCTTATTTCAGTTTCATAATATAATATAGTATTTTATAATATTGTAATTTGAATACAATTGGACACATAATTGTCAGTCAGGCAAAATGATAATTATTAACTATATTAACTGTCTTAAATTTCTGTGTTTGATATAATTTACAATTGAATACTTTTTTGGACTGTTAATTGGGAAAAATTATCATATTTGACGACATGAGCCTGGGTACAGGTAATCTGTGATTACATCTAATAGGCTAATACAATCTGGGAACTTGTGACTGTATAGACAAAATCAATCAAAACAAACAAACAAACAAAAAAATATATATATATATAAACTTAATTTATAAAGAAAATCTAAATGAGTTGACCAATTATTGACTAAATTATCAATAAGACCAGTAGGAAAACCTTCTAACTTACTGACACATGAAATTGCCTGGCTGATCAATTATATCAACTATACCTAAAAATTAAAATGACATAATGGGGAAATTGTCCTTAAGGGGAAATCCACTGTGTTATCTATCTATCTTAGATCCCTCAAAATTCACCATTTTGCACCTGCAAATTTTCATCTAGTAGAAGCCTTTACAGAACAAGCACAGATACCAATGTCAGCATCCTCAGGAGACCAGAATGCACTGAAGCCACAAGACACTGGCAGTGGCGGTTTTTTGTTTGTTCCTTGTTTGTTTCCGGTTGTAAATATGCTACTCTGCCACCTACAGCCATCCAAACATCCATTCTCTGGGCTTTGTGTGCAGTTACTCCATTATGGGAAATTTAGGACATCAACTAATTGAAGTGAAGGAGGGAAATTAAGATAAAGGTTGGTACACCAAAAAAACAGTTATTCACAAAATAGCTAAATAAATAAATGAAAGAGCACATAATAACATTAAGACATAATCCATTTTATATATTGCAGACTCTTAATACAGTATGTTTAGCAGCAGAGGTTTACGCAGTGCTTAAGTGAAAAAGGAGAAGCTACCCTTCATCTCCTGCCACTAAATTCCAGTGCAAACATTTTTCAGTCAAACCACAGAGTCCTCTAAAGTACCCCAACACCCCACTATCCCCACGCAGTCTGCATTTTCTTACGGCTGCCGTCGTGATGTGACAGCCCGCTGAATGGCTTTATTGGTACAGTACAGTGTCTTAGCTCAGTGAAATGAGGGTTGGAGGCATTCCCCCCACTCAACTTTTGAGTTTACGCAACATGAGTGGGTGGTTGTGGGTAAGGAGGGTGGTGGTTGGTGGGGGTGCTCCTCCTCCCCCTCCTCAAAGTCACTCAGACTTCACCCTCTTCACCCTCTCCTCCAACCCTCCTCTCTGTCCCTGTATGCTAGACTTCATCGGTATTTGCTTTCAAAAAAGCTGTACTGCCCACCTTCTCCTCCTCCTTGGTCTATAGCCCCCCAACACACACACACACACACACACACACAACCTAGTCACTCCTTTTCCAGTATTTGGTTCATCAAATTTTCTGCAGACTTCCAGAAAAGAGGCAAAAAGGAACCAGATCAATAAAGTGGGGCCTGTGCACAGAGGCCATGTGTGAAAACGGGGGCTACAGCAGCATACATACAACAGCATACAGGGGCTGGGCTGCGGAGATGAAAGTGACATGGCCACTATGGGTCTCTGAACGCTGCAGAGCGGAGCCCCAGAACTGAGGCTGAATGAGCTGAATAGGCTCATCCATTCTTTATTCCTTTCACTCTCCATAGGCCCTAACTGTTGGAACTCTTCATTCCTCACAATGGGCAAATGCACTAAAACTTTCTCTTTTTTTCTCATGCAAATCACCTCGGCTCTGACTGGGGTTGTCATCATGTGAAGCGGAAAACACACATGCACATACTCTTAGTCGATTAAAGGAAAAGATCACCAATTTAAAACTTCTACGCATTCATTGTTTTTTTATTTACTTGAATTATTCCTTTTTTAAATCCTGCTTGTCTTGGTGTTAAACCTCAACAATTTTCTAACTTTTCTAGGTCTGTTTCTCATCAGCATGCAAAAAAATCTCATCCAAGGAGGGAGCCCATTTGATTTTCAAATGTGAATTAAATGAAAAAAGTCTTAAGAGAAGCAAATAGCCTCTTTTTCTGTTATATGTAGGCCAAAACAACTAAAGAAAAAGTAGGACTCGTAAGTCCACACATGAGTTTGGAGATCATTAGCAGTGCATGTTAGATAGGGGTAAAAGCCAACAGTAAATATAGCTGCTTAAGAGCCCCACAAAGGCGTCAAGTGTTTGTTGACTACTCAGGCTGGAGAGCAAACAGTAAACTTTGAATCTTTCAACAATAAGTACACATCTCCCACAGTCCTGTCACAGGCAGTAATGTGTCCATGTGGCTACTGCACTCCTACTTTCTGCCTGATGTTTGTTTCTTTGCTTTGTGGCATTAAGAGATTAAAAAAGTAAAGTGCCCCAAAAGTGAGAAAGTGTGTGGGTGACTGCATTAGTGCAATGTGTGATATTGGAATTGTTTTTATAGTTTTTCATTCAAGCCTTACAATAAAAAAAACAATGAAAAGTGGTGTTGTTGATGTTGGAAATTGTACATTTAAAAGTTAAATTAGTAGGCTGGTTCGATTAATCTTTATCCAAGATTTAACCGTAAAAACAGCCTCACTGCTCGTGGACTTCAGTGGAAAACGCTACAATAGTTTGTGTTGAACTATTAAAAGCTATGCAGAGGGGTTGGCGCCGAGTTTTCTGATCACATCTCTTCCCATATGGATCAAGTTGCAAGACAGAAATGTTTTGGATTCCTATGTCAGATAAGTTCAAAGTGCAAATGAGATGTGAAGCTGCCCTCAGCCTCATCTGCCGTTGACACGCAAGGTAACAGAACACTTCTAACAACAATGAAGTGTGAGTGTAAGAGCCGAAAAGACGAATATCCAGAACAAACATGCAACATTAAAGTAACTTTTCTCCCAACCCGCTGCTGTCAGCATCACCACAAAGTTTCCTTACCTTCGCTGCCGTCTCTTTTCACTTCGAAACCGAAGATCTTCCACTCACTCTTTTTGTCCGAGGAAAACTTTGCCTGGAGTCTGATTCCCGTAAACTAGGACTGAGCTGGCACCATGCACAACGCGCAAACAAGCCTCTCCGGACTTGACGCGAAACTCCATGAACCGAGTTATTAAAAGTTTATTGACACTTCAAGCTTGCACTCCTACTATACCGGAGAGTGATTCAGTGCTGAACAAAAGTCGAGTCTAACTTTTTCTTACAATCCATCTTCTCCAGGGGTGCGCTCTTGTGTGCGTGCTTTGCGCGCTTTTCAGCAAACTAACATGATGCGTGACGCTTTGTATTTTCTTGAGCGTTAAAGTTTCGGACTAAAGGCGGTTTGGCTTCACTCGATAGTTATAGCAGAGACATGCGGTGGTGTTGAGATCTTCAGGCTGCTGATCTGTTTTCAATCCGACCCCCTTCTTTCTCCTTCCCCCCTTTACCATCTCCTCCTCTCTCACTCCCCTTGCTCCCTGGTGAGTTGGGCCATTTGCTGCACCAGATGGGCCGGGCTAACGCTATCCAGCAGTTTCAGACTGGCGGAAGAAGTTGGATAAAGTTTCATTTATTTTTCACGGGCTTTACAGATAAGAATTTCTGTTTGTGCGATTTTGGCCCTGGGTGTAAAGTCACGGGAGTTATCGCACTTAAAATACACAAATTTCTGCACCCGCATTGTCCTCCAGAAATCAGTGCTTTTGTTGACAGCGTAGCATCAAGTTTCTTGCAGCTGGATAAAAAGCTCTTCAAGCTTTAGTTCTCTAGTATTTTAGAGCAGTGATTTTTTGAGTGGGTGGACCGATAATGAAGGCACTCTCAGATCTTAGAACAAACCAAACTCACATTCACTACCGACCCTTTAGTTAAAACTTGTTGATTTAATGAGTAGACAGCAAAACAGTCTTCATAATTCGTGCAGTGTATTACCATCCAGGCCTTTTCATCTTAGCTGAACCTTTTATTCAGCTGGGGCAGTGATATGTTGCAGACATTCAGCATTTATATGTCTACTCAAGTAGATTTCACCTAAAGTAACCCTGTCCTGCCAGTGCTTTTAAATGCTCCTTTGTTGTTGTTTTTTAAAAATAAATTGTTGCTGTTTTTTCAGGGAGAATAAAGATGTAGAGGAACGAGAAAAAACAATATAACCCCCCCCTTTTCCCAATCAGTGCAATTTTTTTTTCTATGCTAGAATACCACTTGCTGTGTGATTTTATAGCAAATTTAGGAATATGCAACATATAAGCCCCAAAGTGAAATGATGAAGGTATAAAGATAATAAAGCAGGACTGAAGGCAGGCCTTCATCATGTTATTTATTGTGCTTTGTCAAATAGAACAGTTCAATCACAGTAAGACCAAAGCTTTTGGGGCACTTGGTGTTTTAGGGCCCCAGGGCACTTCATTTTGCCTGGGTTAGTAACCAATCCTTGTAAAAATGCTCCATCACAGGTGAAAATCTGCATTTTACTTCACGAAAAAGTATAGGAAATGTATGAATGATCCCACATGGGATTACATGACAAACAGTTATACCAAATATAAATGAAGACATTTAATGTTCATGTTCCAATTAAAGACAAATCATTGCCCTAAACCAACGCAAAGAAATCACAACATGGTTTACACAGAAACACAACAAACAGTTTGTCTTACAGACCAGTCAAGATATTCTGACAATACAAAGTGTCTGTTTCATAGTGTCTCCCAACACAAAGTCATCTTGTTCGTTGTACTGAATCACACAAAGGATCATGTGAAATATTTCATTTTTCTTTTTCTTTCAGCTCACATAACAGACAAAGCCTACCTTTAAAACATGTTACTTAAAGTATCAAAAGTAAAAGTACTAGTTTCACAGAATGGCCTCTTTCAGGTGTATTACATTAATATGTTATTGGATTATTATCATGGGTTAATATGCATTCATGGGCAGGCAACATTTTAATATTGTAGCTGGTGCAGGTGGAGCTAATTTTAACCCCTCTACATACAGCAGCTCCTAACAATGCATCATATTTTATAAACTGATTGTTTGTTTTGTTTGATAAATGCAGTGGAGCAAAAAGTACAACAGTCCTTATGAAATCTAGTGGAGTAGGAGAAAAGTAGACTAAAATGGAAATAAATGTAACTAAAGTAAAAGTACTCTATAATTGTACAGTGCTTCAGTAAATGTATACTTTTTACCACTGGTGAAAAGGGATGAAATGAAATTATACCATAGAAGTCCTCAGTATGACTCAATTTATTACTTCATCCCTATATTGAGGCTCTCGTGCTTATTTTTTTTTTTTTTTTTTTACACACATGCCTTGTGAGACAGCAGTTCTGTTCAGCTCAGAGCAGAGACAAAAAGGTGCATAGATGGAGAGGATGAAAAGAGGCTGACTCGCAGAAGGATCGTCAGGCCTGGTTGCTTTCAGGGCTCGAGGTGCTGCCACCTATTGTCCCTCTCTGTGCTTGCATCATGCCTGAGTGCCCACTCTCAAAACAAGCCTGTGCACATGAGCGACCTCTGTAGCTCCCTGTGCCTCTGTGCCTGTGCACGTCCTCAAAAGAGGGTGAATGCCAGGCTCGCTGGCCTTCCCTCCTGTGCTAGTACGGCCTTACAGGCAGGAATTTTAATGAGCTTGTTGGTCTTTTCTGATTGGAATAGAGGAATGTAACTACAGACAGTAAGGCTGTTGGCTAGCATATCACAGAGGGAGAAGGAGAAAAAGGTGATGAGAAGAGATGCCAATGGTTTGAGAAGGAACATAAGATTATGGTATGATCATATTATAACCTCATGCATTCTTTTGTGATAAAATCTGCAGCCTGTGATGGTGCAGCTCATTGTTTATGGGGTACATATTGTTTAAATTAACTCATCGCCCTTGTTAGTGGATAATCAAAAACAAATTTAAATATGACATTGTGGTCAAGGTCTCAGTGTGTTGTTCTGACTGATATATTGGCAGGTTAGTGATCATTATATTGTTGAGTCTTGTTTGCATGATGAATGCAACCGCACATTTCAAAATTAGTCTTTACTCATAGAATTGTGTGCTTTTTAGTCTACTTATTCAATCATATGATTTTCTTCCTCATTGTAAGTGCCATTATTGCAATTTGTGTTTTTTTTATGTTCACAGAGATATTAATGACAGTTTCTGCCTAAATGATCCATATTTGTAGACCTTGGTGTATTCTCCTCCACCATCACTGCAATACAGTGTCAGCTAAAGTACAATACATGAAATCTGTGACGTGTGGTGATTATTTTCTTATGATGTCCATTTGACACACATGTAGACCAAATAGTTAGAAAGCATTGTTATGAAAGACAGGCTTTTCTGCCATGTCCTAAACTAGTGTTTCAAAGTCAAGTAAGTTTTATTCATATAGCTACAAATCACAAATTTTGGAGGTAAAAGCAACAACACACTCTATCTTTAGACTCTGTAAAGCAAGCTTGACTTCACTCACATCCATGTAGAGTGGATGAGGTAAGTGAAGTAAGCAAGGTAAGTGAAGTCCACTGCTGGAGTACAGTGGTGACTTTGTCCTCTTATCTCCCCATCGCTGGGCTCCTGACAGTCTATTCAACCAGCCTGTCTGTGGCCTTCTCAGCACTGCAGTGTGTTCTCAGTGTAGCCAACTGGTCAACCTTTCCCTGGGTCTTCCAGGTACAGTAAGAAGGTTGTTGATACCTACTGATGAGTAATTAAAAATTTAACACATTTGCACTTTGAACTTATTTGACAAGTTGTGAGCTTATCTTTTTATGTCAAGGACCTTTAGAGGCCGAAGGGGTGATAGTGTTCTGTAAAAAAAGTAGTTAAAATTCGAGAAAAACTTGAAAAACTAATTATTATCCAGTATTTTTGTGTCACATTGTTTTCTGTGTCACAAAAAGGTGACACAGAAAACAAGGTTAGAAAACAGAGTATTAGATTTTTAAAAGTACTTTGTATGAATAACTTCTTCAATTGAAAAGGAACGCAGTTCAGTCAGTCACCGCATGTTAGAGGAAGCAGTGACATGCATTTCTTAGAAAATGCTGCCCTCTAATGATTTTTTTAAATATTGCTGCTTGTTTTTCACAGAAGGCTCAATCATTAAATCTTTCACCATATAAATAACAACTGTACTCACAGTTTAAATATTTAAAGTGTTTTACTACTACAAAAAATATCATATTTCTAAACTTATCCTGATTAAAAAATGCCTCAATACCGCTGTGTTTACTGTAACAGCATTACATAGGGCGTGTAAACATGGTATTTGACTAACATCTCTCTGACCTATGACCCATTAGTGTTGTTGTTTATGATATTAGGTCATCCTTATTGGTTTGTGAAGTTTGGTGACCTCATGTAAAGAACCCAAGCAGAGGTCTAAATAACTAGATCCACTGAAAAATCCTTTGTGCAGGACCTTTAATGCTGATAGTATGTAAATGCTCCGTATTTGTATAGCGCCTTTCTAGTCTTTTCGACCACTCAAAGCGCTTTTACACTACATCTGCATTCACTGAGCCTAAGTGCTCAAACAGCAACTAACATTCACACACATTGGGAACAGCCACCAGAGGCAATTCCGGGTTCAGTATCTTACCCAAGGATACTTCGACATGCAGCCTGGTAGAGCCAGATTGAACAGCCGACCTTCCGATTAACAGGCAACCCGCTCTACCTCCTGAGCCACAGCCGCCGTAAAGACCAGTAAGTCAGTTTGGGAGTAACAGCAGGTTTATATCCAGTTTGAGCGAAGGTGACCCTTTGCTTTACATTTTGGATTGGATATCAGAAAACGATTCCAGTGCAAAACCCTGTAACACCAATTCATCTTACTGGACATACATATCATTTATACTACATTTTATTTCAAAGCAGCCTTTTTTACCATACACATACATCTATTCATCACAGACACATACTGGTACTGTATATTCTTAATCTATACTGATAATATTCCACATTACCAATTGGACTACAACCCCTGTTTGTAGAAGTGTAATCTGTATATACTGTAGATATTGTGTTTGGTAGTTAGTGTCACTTTATTAGGAACACCTGTAAAATATAATGCAATTCAACCCAACAGCTTAGCCATAAATTCGACCTTTACAAGATACTAATATGTTTACTTTGACACTGTCAGAGAGGTATTGTTTAACTATATGTTTCTTATGCTGCATAATATTGAAATGTATTTTTATTATTCCCAAAATATGCAAAATATGATATGAGATATAAATATATATAAAATATGATTTAACTGATACATTAGTTTCAACCCAACTGTTGTCTTCAGTGTCCAAGCCATCCATCCATCGTCGACCACTTATCCTGCATACAGGGTTGCAGGGGGGCTGGAGCCAATCCCAGCAGACATCGGGCGCAAGGCGGGGTACACCCTGGACAGGTCGCCAGTCCATCGCAGGGCCACACATAGACGAACAACCATT